TGTTTGAAGATATGTGAACTGATTTGACTCTTTTGTTTTTTAAACTCTGTAATAGTAGGACCTCTGAGATGCTTTTTAGTAGTTCTGTCAATTTTGTTATATATCTCCTTTGTTTTTTACTTGCTTCATAGTCCTCTATTCTTTTAGTTATTCATACTAATTTGTTATTATTTACTAGTATAGGCCATAGTATGTCTTCATTTATTTCTTCTATTTGTACTATTGCTAAGGCCTTATACTTTGACCTTTTGATTCTTATTACATAGGCTTTTTAAATCTTTTGCAGATGTATTCTACTTTTTTCTTGTTTATATTTGTTAGCAAGTCCCAAATTGTTAAATAGTTTATGTTCCCTAATTCTTTGCTTCTTCTGCATTAGTTTTTATTTGTTTTGTTTCATTCTTCTTCTGCTCAGATTCTTCTTTTTTGGTTCTTGCTTTACTGTTTTTTCTTTTTAATATCTTCTATTATATTGTGTTTGTTTTTTTCCAATACTTTTCTCTTTTTTTTCTAATATTATTTTCACTAGTCATTTTTCTTTTTGCTGATTCTTTGTATTGCTTCACTTCTGCTATATTCACAGTTGAAGTTTACCTCTATCCATAAGTTTCCCCTTTTGAAGATTTCTCTAACATCTTTGACATGTACATTGTTTCTTAATAACTATTTAATAAACTTCATATACTCTTCTTTTGTCTTTTTAGATATTTTGTGTGCTGGTATGTTAGCAAGTAGACTATTATTTTGGTTACAGTTTCTCTTTCTTGAAGCCCATATTCTTTCTTCTAGAGGTTCTTTAACTATATTAATTTCTTTTTTGATTTCTATTTTAATATCTTCTTGGTCTTGATCTTCTCTTTGTTTTTCTTTATTTCTTTTTTGTATAGACAGATTTTCTTTTCCTAGTTAATATTTTCTTGATTAACTTTATACTTATTTCTTTTTGTGAGTTTTAGTTTTGTCTTGCATTTTCTTATCAATCACCTTTTCAATTTTCATCCCTTTCTCTTGCCCTATTTTATGTAGTTCTTTTTGACTGTTATTTATTTCAGTTGACTATTGTTGTATTTTTTTTTTTGTCTTGCATTTGCCCTATTATAAGTTCTATTATTGTAATATTTTTAGTTTGTTTGGTGATATTAATCTTTTTTTCTGGCTGATTTCTTCTGCCTTTTTGATTATTTTTCTGGTTATACATAGCAACACAACCTCTACTAAGTCTTGTTCTATTAGCATAGCTACAACTTCATCTTCTCTATTTGGCACCATATATGTATTGCTTGCTTAGTTAAAAAACACTTTATTGTATATGCTATTTGCTACCCAGTATGTTCTTTTGATATAGATTGATATCAGGCTTTCTTTCTAATTTTGTGTACTGTTCATATTTAGCCTAATTCTTTGTAATTCCTGTTTGTTATTTATTGTTCTAAAACTTTCTATACTTTTGTCTATCACAGTTCAAATTAGGCCTATTTGTGCATCTATTAATATACATATTTGTTTTGTTGTTTATTCACATATTACTATAATCTACTGATCTATATTTCTAGATTACAGAGAATTTCCCAAAATTTCACTTTTCAAAGTGCTGGCTGAGATGTTTTTCTTTCTGTTACTTTTACTAAACTATTTATTTTTCCTTTTTTTCTCTTATTACACCTTCTTTGCAAGCTCTATTTTTTTTTCTAAACCTACAAACTTGGTTTAGACAATTGTTTTCAGTAAACTTCTATAATATTTTTCTACAGATTTTGTATATGAGTAATTAGCAGAGAAAGTTGTGTTAAAATTTTTTGCCAGTATAGTTTTTTTAAATAATATATATTATAATTTTTTATTATAATAAATAAATTATTTTAATTTATATATCTTAAAAATTTAATAAAATTTTGGTATATTTTTAAAAAATTTTATTAGTATTATATTTTTATTTACTATATAAATCTAAATTTATTATACAAATTATATAACAAATAATCTACATGTACTCTATCCTTAATATATTAAATTTTTATTAGTATAATATAAACAAAAAAAAACTTTTTAAATCTTTAATTCAAGCTATAAATATTAATATATATTACAAACTTTCTTATTCTTTTCTTAACCAGTATTTATTAATTCAAATAAATAGATATGATTATTTATTAATAATTATATTATTTCCTTTATATTATAATCAAAAATCTGATTATTCTTTTTTCTATAATAGTACTTAAATATTACAGTTTAATAGAAAATTTTTTGTAAAATTAAATTAAAAATTTAATTAAATATTAAAAACTAAAATTTAGTAAATAATAACTTAAAATTAATTTAAATTTAGTTAGAAATTTAGATTAATTTTAAGTTATAATAATATAAAAAAATTTTATATATTGATTTTTTAATCATTTTATATATATATTTATTAAAATGTATGCTTTAGAATCTTTTTCAATATATAAACCTAGTATTATGTTTTAATTTAAAATATTGCTTCAATATGTCAGTTAGCTCAGTTTGATTAGTGTTAAAATGTTTGATAAAAAGATTATATAATGTAGAAATTATAGTTTAAAATAAAGATTATTTTGTTTATACTATGTCTTATCAATATTAAGTTCAAATTTCTTATCTTTTTTTTAAAAAATTTCAAAAAGTTTATACTATTAATAATAAAATTAGATTTAATTAAAAAATCAAAAATCAAATAAAATAAATATATATTAGATATTAACAAAATTAGGTTAAAAAAATAATAATATATATTAAATATTAATAAAATTAGGTTAAAAAAATAATATATATCAAATATTAATAAAATTAGATTTAATTTAAAAAAATAAATAAAAATATATTAAATATCCCTTAAACTGTTTCCAGACAAATTTGCCTGAAAATTTTATGATTGATCTGTAATTAAGCTATCAAATTATATTGAGTTGTAGTCTAAATCATAGTAGATATGTAGTTAAATTGACAGTTTAAGGGATAATTTTAAATATATATCTAAAGTATCTGTTTTATTATTTTCATTATATCTTTTACAGAAGCAGATCTTCTTTGTATAGCTAATAAAGTTTTAACTCTATTTTCTTCTTCTTACTTAGCTTACTCCTGTTTTATTGATATATAGTGGTTTAAAATCTGTAATATATTAATATTATCAGTTAATATAAAATAAAAAATTTTATAATACTTTAATTATATTTTCTAAATATATTATTTTATTGTTATAATTTCTCTAGACCTTATATTAATTATTAATTTCAATTTACAATAAATGATTTTCTAAAAAAAAAACAGTTATAAATCAAAGAAAAAAGAAATAAAAAAATAATATTAGTTGTAAATTAGTATAAATTCAGCTATTATTTAATTAAAAAAGAAAATTATTAAATAAGTTATAAATTATTATATTTAATTTTTTACAGTAAATAAAAATTTACCATTCTTAAGCCTTTTATTTTTATATAATAATTTATAATATAATAAAAATTCTATTTATTTACTATTTTTATTTTTGTTTCTACTATATTTGAATCTTAACACTAAATGAGATAAATAAACAGTAAGGGTAATATATAAAGTGGTAGTCCTTTGAAGAGAAGCAATAATGACTGACTGGATCAAAATAATAAATAGTTGAATCAAAGAAATAATTAATAGTTAAATTAAAATAATGAATGATATAATCAAAGTAGTGAATAGTTAAATTAATGTAATTAAAGGTCTAGTAAAAAAAGTAAATAGTCTAATTAAAAAAATAGTGAATGGTTGGATCAAAGTTGTTGATAGTCTGATTTTTATTTATTATGAATATGTATATGTTTTTTAAAATTATTTGAGAATAATATTGATAACTTTGTTCTTTTATCTCTTATTTGTATTAATTTTACAATAGATTACAAAGTATTTTTTATCTTTAACTGTTAATCTTCTAAAAGAAGTTTGAAAGCTTAACTATTAAGTTATAAGACCTAAGTACTAAACTTATTAATTTTATTAAATATTCTTCATTTATAATATTCAATAAATATAATAAATATGTATAATAATTTCAAATTTTAAATTTTTTAGATTGTTTTATTATAACAAGGATTTATTTATGAAATTTTAAAATTTTTTAGATATTTTTCTACTTTATTTTAGAGTTAGGTTAGCATTTTGGCTAGAATTGATATATGTAGAATTTAGCAAGCTTATATTTAAAATTTGTGACCACAAATTTTAGCATCAGCCGTGACAACCAATTTATTTTGTTATAAAAAATCCGTTGAAATAAACTTACTAATTAATTATATAATCTTATAAATTATTATCAAAATGATGCCTAAATGGATAAACTTAAACATTTATTCATTATCAAAAATTTTTTGTGATAGCTTCAATAAATAATCTTTGATATGGTTACGAATACGGAATAGGGGCCTAAAAAGATAAATATAAAGCATTAATTGATTATCAAAAATCTGCTAAGGTGAGTAATTCAAATCAATAAGCCTGAAATTAGGTAATATTACTGTTATAAAATAAGTGTGAAAATGATGTATATAAAGCATTCATAAAAAATCTGCAAAGATAGGAAATCTGAAATGACGTTGAAATTATTATTGCTCTTCATAAAAACTGTTCTTGTAAATAAATGCACAGCTTCTGTGACAAGAAATACAAAAGCTTTGTAATAAAGCACAAGTGATGGTTGCTGAGCAAATAATGTGCACAACTCTCATTGCGGATGTACTTTTAGTTTCTACTGAATCGATAAGTTTTGATTTCAACCAAAGTTGCTAACTTATTTATTCTAATAACATAGTTCGCAGTTGTCTCAGAATTTATGATAATAAGGTCACTCTTATTGTAGTGAAACTCAGGCATGGCATATAATTTGACATACAGTAGGTTTATTAATTAGCCCCTTTATTTACCATAGTAAAAAACAATGTTATTAGGCTAGTAACATAAATGTTAAAAAAAATAAATAAATAATTTCACAAATAAATAGAAGTTTTTTCTTATAATTCTGCGTCAAGCATGGTCGTATCCAAATTTTTAAGCTTTTCATTGGCTTTTATATGACCCTTAAAAGCTGCCAACTTTAGGTAACTTAAACCCCTTTGCTTATCCACATTAACTTGCATCTTCCCATGCAAATAAATATCACTTAAAATATATAATGCAGAAGCATTTCCATTTTCTACCGCTTTATTCAAATGATATAAAAACTTTTCTCTATTGTCATTAATTCTTGGTAATGTATATGCATACCAAAAGCATGCATCCGGTACACCCTCATCAGCAGCCATTTTAAACAATTCACAAGCTTCTGTTGCATCTTTATCCTTCTGTTCCTTTGACCTTTCTGCTCCAGCTGGATAAAGTCCTTCCCATAAATAGAATCCTTTCCAATAAATGCTAATTGAACACTTAAGTTTTGCATTATATTCAAAGCATTTCCATGCTCTTTCTCTGTTTTCAGGTATCTTGGATCTATGAAGCTTAATTCCTTCAGTAATTGTTAAAATTTCGGGTATATTAGGATTATCTTCATGTATTGCTAATCCATTATTGTTGCAAGAGTCAGCAGTTATCAGAGATGATGATTTTTCATCAATTGAAGATAATTCTAAAAGTCTTAAATATAATGTATTTATACTGATTCTTTCTTTTGGATAATGATTCCATGCTTTTAAAGAAAGAAAAACAACAGTTTTGATTGTTAATTATACAATTTTAAAATAATTTAATAATTCCTTATTCTTGATTGATTACCTTTCTGAATTAAATCTTTAAATCCATCTTTAATAATTTTATCATTTGGATCAAGATCGAAGTTATCAATATCATCAAAGTTTTCCCTATTACCATTCATGACATGATTAAATAGATTTATAAGATCCATATTCTCATAAGGAATTTTTTGACAAGCTAGCTCCCACATGAGCATTCCAAAACTACATTTATTATATATTTTAGTTAATATTTTAAAATTTTAAATAGTTAAATTATGTTGTAACTAATTTTACCTAAAAATCTCACATTCTTGTGTGTACGTTTTACGATAAGCTTCACAAGTTTTACTATCTTTGGCCATTTTTTCAGGCGCTGACCAATTATACATTGTTGAAAAGTCAATAACCATAGTGCTTGCTTTTCTAAAAGAAACATCAAAAACAAGTTTTGGCTCATAATGATCCGTCATCTTTTAAATTATCATAAATTTGATTTTAAATACTTATACTGATTCTAAAAAGTTTTAATTAGTGTTAAATTACTTACCATCACATTTTCACACCGAATATGATGATGAAAAATACCAACAGAATGCAGAAACGTGATTCCTTTACAAATTCCAAAAACTATTTGAGCTTTTAACGACCATGTGATGTTTTCTTTTTCATATAATTCTTTTAGACTTCCTTTTTCAGCCCACTCATAGACCATGATATTCCGTTTTTCCCCTGAGAGCCCATAAAATTTTAGAATATTTGGACAATCAACTAGTCTTTTTTGAATTGCTAATTCACCATGTAATAGTTCCGCATCATGAGAATCAATTCTTTTACATGCTACATTGGTGGAATCTTTGTAAACCATTTTAATGATATGGCCTAATTTTCCACGACGTTCTTTGTCAGAACTTTCAAGTAATAAATTTGAATCAATTGTTCGTATATCTATTAAACAATGATTGTAATCAGGTTTACTTTTGATAGATTTAATTTCTTGATAAAGAATATTAGTTTGCCCTTTATGATAATTAGAATAATCTTCCAGGAACTATTTTTTTTTAAAAAAACAAAATTAGTATTTAAAAAAAAAATTAGTATCATAAATAAATAATCCTTATACTATTCTCTATATCGATACAAATCATTATATAATACCTTTCTCGTCTCTTCAATGTCATTTTTTAAACATTCATCATCAATTTTTCTTATTATAAACTTTAAAACGTTCAAACTATCTTCATATTCTTTCATTAACTCTCTGTAATTCTTTCCTATAGCCTGAATATTATCGACCCATCTTCCGAGTCCTCTTAATTGCGTTACTTGACTTGCAAAATCTTTTATTTTTCCCAAGATAATTAAAACTTTATATAACGATTCTTGACATTTTGAATTTGTTAATTCTTTTTTAAATTGTTCTTTTTGAACAAATAAAGATTTTATAACTGCTTCTGTAGATAATAAATGACATAAAATAGCTTTCGATATATTTTTATTATATTGTGCATTTTCGTTGATTTGAACTATATTTTTAAAAATATCAGAAACTTCTCCAAGAAAAGATTTGATTGTTACTAATGTTTCTATGTTATCTATTTCTAAAGTTATGCTTGGTATTTCTATAATTGATGTCATTGTTAATATTGTTAATCAAAATATGTTTAGCTTTTGGAGGTATTGAAGTGAATTATCGAGCTTTTTATAAACTCTTTGAAATAAAAGAAATGTATTTTTCATTAACGGAAATCCTATGTTCGGATATAGAATAGTTCTACCTTTTCAAGTACTGTACGTACGTACGTCATACTTACAATGTTATCAAATGTGGAATAGTACTACCTTTTTAACAAAAGGTTAATAAGTTTACAGTAATTAAACCTCTGCTAGCTAAATTGAGGTTACAGGAACGGAGTCTATAGTCATATAATAGGAGAAAATAATACATGCATGCAATTGGCTAAACAGTGCATTAAGGATAGGATTTGCAAGTGCAGCACATGCACTATTAAAACATAGTGCCGTGGTGGCATTTGTATAAGAATACGTAAAGGAATTTCATGACATCAAATTTAGGAAGTTTAGTTCTAGTCATAGACATTGGTAAAAAAGAAAAAAAAAATTATATTCATTCAAAAGTAATTGAATATTATCATTTTAAGAAAGTAAGGTAGAGAACATTTACTTTTATAAATTTTATTTTCATTGACTTTTCATTCGAATTATTCGACACAACGGTGTTTATATGAATAACACATAAAAACCCAATCACTGTATCAAGAAGTTGGTTAAAGTCTTGAAATATTTATAGAATGATATGATATTTAAGTCAACGATAATTTGATCTCAAATTGGAATCGCGGAGTATTAACAAAATACATCAATCGGACGTATACAAGCGTAAACTTTGTTTTGATAGTACCCAACGACTTGGGTCATTTTGATCCTATTTTAAAATATATTATGTGACATATGCACAAAATTTCCGGATGTAATATGACATTTTTTTGGAAGTGTCTTTTCCTAACGGGAACTTAGAAATCAATTGTTATTATAAATGACGGAAATTTTCCGTCCCATGAAAAATTGAGTCGGAAATTGTCTTACATAGTAAACGGCATTTTACAATAAGTTTTGTGGCGGAGGAACCGTCGGTGTTACACGACTGATCCTCCATCCGGTGTAGTATATAATTTTTAATTCATAGCGATAATATTTTCTGAACGAAATGACAACACACTTAAAATTAGGCTTTTGTTTAAATGCATGTCCAGTACGTTTGGTGTGTTTAGTCTGTACGAGAATTTATGGTGAAGATTGTTCTTTAGCCAATGGATCTTAATTAAAAAAAAAACATAAAAAGGATCTGAATATAATATTAGTTTTCATAATAAATACATTACATAAGTAGACACTAATAAAAAAAATAGTTCGATCCGATCAAGAATTTATTTACTGGATTAAAGATTTTATTAACATTTGTCAAAGCTATGTTAACGAATAAAAGCAAAAAATTTTATATATTATTTTATTTTATTTAAAAGATTGCGGTGTATGCTGCATACAGGTATAGTCTAAACTATTTGGGATGTCCCAAACCATGTGATATTTGTATAGTTGTTAGTTTCTGCTGCTTTTTTTCTTATTTCCGAGACTAATTGACACATTGTTTAGGACGTTGTAACTACCAGGTTGAATATAAATAATTACTTTGCGTCACGAATCCAACTATGATAGTTAACAAAGAGGGAAGTATGCGTGGGTTTAATTAATGATGTTACGCTTTAAGGAACGAATATTACTAAGTCTTATTTTATTTCTTTTTTAAGACCGGTTTAAGGTTTAGTACGAACTTTGATTATAGGTTATTATGAAGACACGATGTTTAACATACAGAAGAACTGGGTCTTTATTAAGAGAAGTTAGATTACAAGTAAAATAGTAAAGGTATACTGATTAATACTAACACTATACTATTGTCATTATTTAGATATATCATAAGGAACATTAAAAGTATTGGTTTTCGATTGTAAATGTAATTTGACTTATCCTCCAATTGCATTAATTGCATTAGAGAAGTATCGAACTTTCTTCGTCGGTTAATAACTACTCCTGTTAGCATAGCGTGCTTTATGATGATTGGCTGATTTTTGAAGATCATCTCATCATAAGTCTTATTAAAGTAACGATTTTCCGTTACAAGATTGAATTCCGAGAGTGTAAGACAAAAAAAATTAGAAACTTCACGTTTTACTTTATAAATTGTCAAAGTAATTCGGAAATTAAATGAGATGAATGTCTGAACATTTCGATTTAGCCAATAAGTTATACAAAGATATTAAGTTAGTAATTTGTTTCTGAAAGAATTATTTTTGCTAATTTATTTTATTATGTTTTATTTATAATCCCAAGACAGGCACTGCCAGTAAAATAATTTAATGAAATAATTTAGCATCAAGCCTAGCATTACGAAGTAATGAAGAACCCGTACAGCAACCTCGCCAAAACTTTCTGCATTCCGCTATACCCCGGTTATTTTCTATGATGTTATCGAAAGAATTTTATGATAATTCGATGATGATCAATAATTAACTAACAGAGTAATAATGATTTTTTCTTCACTGTTCAAGTTGGATAACAAAAAAAGAAACATTTTATTATTATTATCATAATATTTACTCAATTATAAATTTTGCCATTTTCGTAACTTGAATAACAAAAATTACTAAGCATTGGATAGTGATAAAATTCTTTCGACAATGTAATAACAATTAATTGGAGTGCGGAAAATTTTGGAGAGGTTGCTGCACGAGTTAGTAATGAAGTATAAATTTTTAGATTTCGAAACTAGAATCGATGCTACGTTAGTTATTATTAAGGTTATTAGTGTAAATACTTTGGCTTCAATAAAACTAGTATTTCGATTAAGATTGATTTATATGCTTTTGATTAGTTTTTTAATGTGTTTTCTGTATTTTTTAGTTTTTTTTTTTTTAACTCGTGTATGTATTTAAAAAGCTCTTAGTTTATGGAATCTTGTTTGTACTAGGCTTATGTATAGTCTAATTACAAGATGTCATAGTAATGTTTTATTAAGGTTAGAGATGTGCCACGTACAATACTATACGTACTGTACGCGAAAAAAACTTGTGTGTCATATAAATGGGATATCCCTAATTAAGGCCAATTTAGTCTTATATAAAATATTTTGTCACAAACTTAGCTTCATATAAAAAATCTTAAACGATCTTTGATTATCAACTAACCAATTATATTATGCAAAAGTCACGAAATAATCTGCAAAAATCAATCACAATAAAAGCCCGCTATGCTACTCCTGTTGGGGTTTCCCTCCCCTAGATAGTTACTAACTCCTCCTGGTAGTTGTTAACTACTCGTGGCTTACCGATTTCCAAAATAGTAAATTACAAGAAAGGAAATAACGACGAGGAAATGTTAATAAATTTCCATTTCGGGCATGACAATGTCTCAAATGTAAAATAGTTTGGGTTACCGTTACTGTTACAACACTACATACGTAAGTAACACTAACGCAGAATAATAATCACTCTAAAAGGAAAAGTTATAATGTACAGTAACCCAATATTTGGCTTATTTATTTTTGCTTGCTTCAAACAATTACTTCTTGACAAAACTTCTAAAAAGCAAAAAAAGCAAAAATCATAAACACGGATATAGAAAACCGTAGTTTTACAGAAGTTATGCCAACATTCAAAGAAGATATCGATATTATTATTGATCCAAATGATGGAAGTGGAAAAACATATCAGTTCACAAATGCTAACGTTCAATGTTGTTCATGTTTATTCGGGACGATGTTCATGCTATGCTGGATAATTTTTTTTATATTAAAAGCAATGAACCGGTTAGATGATGATGGAATTTTCCTTTTCATGTGTATGTTTGTATTTGAGCCAATAGTCTTTTGCGTTTATGGTTGTAGTATCTTTGATCAACGCCATATAACATACCGTAACAAATTCAAAATAGTTAATAGTACAGAACTTCATGAAATTGTTATTTCGTCGCCAGAAACTATAACAGAGTCAACAGAATAAAAAGAATCAAAATCTCTAGGAATTAACCACAGAATAGATTGAACAAATTCTCCAGAAGCAATCAACATTAGATTCTCATATTGCAAATCTATCTCTGACTAGAATTAAAAATTTCTTAAATTTACTAGTTATAAAAAATATGATGGTGGATAATAAACATATGGGGTAAACAAATCAATTTTTTTTAAAAAAATCAAATGTCACTAAGTTCATAAAGCTTGATAATTTTATAAAATATTTATATGTTGTGATTTATAACTGTATTTATTAAAATATGAAAAGCTAACATTTGATAAGAAATTACAAATATATATATATATATATATAGTTATTTAAAGTTAATTGCAAATAGTATTAAAGTTTCTAGTTCGCAAGTTTCAATAATGTACTTATAATGTAATTAAGCTGTAGATTTATGTTATGTACTAGCGCTTGAATCCAACCAATATGAACTTTACAGAAAGGCTTACGCTACTTGGACTTGTTTAGATTTTTCTTCTAGTAAACTTGATTTTAAGAAGTAAAATTAGCAGATGTTCAATACTTTAACTTCTTTAAACATCACTCATTATTTAGCTTATTCTAATGGTATTAAATTGTCATTAAAAACTTTATAAAAACATAATTTTAACTTTTATAAATTTTAATGAAAATTTTCTTTGTTATAAAGTGGTAAAAGCATTAGTGGATGCTCTTTGTAAACATACTGCTTTAACTAACTTTTTCTAATACAGTCAAACCTCAGTTATATCTCTACTAAGTTATATCTTAACCTAAATTATATCCCACTATTTAGCAGGACAAATATCTATATTTATTAAATATTGCCTCAGCTATATATCTACCTAAGTTATATATCTGTAATAACATTATTCTTAAAGAAAGGCAAGTATTAGCAGAACATTTTTGCAAAAAACACTACTTTAACTTATTTAGATCTTAGTATTAATTTCTTGGTTATAAAAGGGTAAAAGTATTAGTAAAAGCACTCTGCTAAAACATTACTTTAACTAATTTAATTAATTGTTTTAATAAACTTGACTTTAAACATACCACATATTAACAAAAAGTAAATTTATTTTTACACTACATGTATGTACACGGGTATGTTAATATCTCAAAATATTTTAAACCGGGTTAATTTTTTGTCTTATAGTTTATATTTTCAGATGAATTCATAAAACAAAATATGATGCACAAATAACAATCCTATTTAAACCTTGAAATTCAAAATTTAACATTTATATTAAATATTAAATGCAATTAATTTTGAATCCAGATCAAAATATTATGATGCCATATATATAAAAATGGTCCGGGTTTAAAAATAATTTAATAAAGTTTAAATTCCGATACATATTATTGGAATTATTAAGTATATTACTGACCAATGCAGACCATAATGATCTGAAGGATAAAATTAAATATTGGTTACGGTCAAATTTTATGAACAATACTTGAAAATGGAATGAAACTCATCACTCTAGTATTAATGATTAATAAACAGAAGAATGGATTATTAATAAAGAATTATCTTTGATTAGGAAGAGATTAAAGTATATCCATCTTCTACCATAACATCTGGGAGAATTAACACGTTATAATTACCACTCGAATATCAGATAAAGGTAATCCTAATCCTAACCCTAATAATCTATGAAATTACTTATATTAGTTCAAAATAATTAATTTATATATATTATAATCATATATGCTTACCTATACTAAAGATTAACCTAAAAATTATATATTCAATAGCAGTAATCGTAGAATTTATAACTTAGTTAACTTCTATTTTAATTTTATTAATTTAGTTTTAATCAAATTGATATTTATTTAGTTTTACCAAAATGACACTATTTGCCATTGCATATAAAGCAAAATAAATTTTGAAACCTTTCATAAATCCTGTATTATGATTGTATTTTTTTTAAATCTTTTAGGATTTTAATTTGTTTATTATTAAATTTAATAGTATGATGAATTGTAAAAATATATGGAACTAGTTTTGTATGATTTTAGTTATAGGTGCTATATTTTTATCATATTGACATTAGAATCTCAAAGAAACTTGTTTGCAATAAAGATACGTCATGCACTAGTCACAAGTACCTATAAGGTAATGCATAATCATTTTATTAAAGTAAAAAACTATTTTTTAAATAGTTTTTGCTATACATTTACAAATAAATAATACAATCACGTACGATTTCATACAATCGCATCATTCATGTACAATCAAACAATCGAGAGTGCAGGAATCTAAAAATTTTATCAAACGCATCAAATTGCAAGCTACGCATTTTGCAATATTATATTACTTAATAATCAAACCTTAGTGAAATAAAAGTATTATTTTGATAAAGAACTTTTGTTAATATTTTGTACTCTTTGAAGCTAAGCTTATTACATGAAATATTTAAATTAGTTAAAGTAGTATTTTTGCAGAGTGCTTCTACTAATAACTTTACTTCTTCATAACCAAGTAGATTAATACTAAGATCCAAAAAAGTTAAAGTAGTATTTTTACAAAGAGCTTCCACTAACACTTGCCCTTCTTTAAAAGTAAAAGTATTATTAGAAAGAATTAAATTAGTTAAAGTTGTATTTTTGCAAAGGGCATCCGCCAATGCTTTTACTGCTTTATAAGTGAGAAAATTGCCACTAAGATCTAAGGAAAATAAAGCTGTATTTTTATATAGAGTTTCTGATAACACTCTGATTCCATCAAAAGGAATTTGATTATTTCTAAGACCTAAAGTAGCTAAGGTATTGTTTATATAAAGAACTTCTGCTATAGCCTTTACTCCTTCGAAGCCAAGTCTATTATAAGAAAGGTTTAAAGAAGTCAGAATAGTGTTTTTGCGAAGTGCTTTTGCTAATATCTTGGATTCTTTGGAACTAAGCTTATTGTACATTAAACTCAAGGAAGTTAAAGAGATATTTTTACAAAGAGCTTCTGCTATCATCTTTACTCTTTCAAGGCCAATTACATTACTTCCAATATCCAGAGAAGTTAAACCGGGTAGTACCGGTTTCAAGGACTTATCTTGTGTTTGCACTGCTCAATGCTGGTTTGCATTCCTTTGTGTAACTCAATCATTGCACAGATGCCCATATACACCGATGTAACATAGGTGGTTTTCCAAATTTTCGCCGTTCATGGGTTTTGAACTCCCAACCTACCACTTGGAGGATTGACAACCTGACCACTTCACTAGTTCGCCACACCCAATTTATTTTATTAATAGTAGTTGTAAAATATTTTGTATATGTAAAAGATATAGGTTATTACATTCACTATGTAGCCAAAAAGTATAAAAGTGGAGATATGAATCCCAAGTTCAACATTGAGTCTTTATACTCTTTTACTAATAAACTACTACTTTATATTACCCAAATTAAACAGTTATTAGTATTCTTATATACTTTTAATTGTAGCTTCTTTCATAATTGCAAATTGTCTTAAATCTTTTTTGTTAAGTTTTCTAAAATAAAATGTTTTCTGAATTAGTTATAACATAGTAACAAGTGAGGTTACAAAAAGTGTTTACTGTCTAAGGTCACTTTAGTTACTTACTATCTTAAAGAAGTAGATATAAGATAACATTATTCACATTCTCAATAATCTTATTAAAGATGCTACTTGCAATTATAAGAACATTTGGTTACTTTTATAAGATATGAATAAAGCATATAACTCTGTTAACTTTATTTTTTTTAAATATTCATTTTCTCATTTGGCACTTCCTTCATTTATTATCAATATCCTTTCTGACCTCTTAACTGATCATTAAATCAAGTTATTACTAATCTTGGCTTTACTTCTTCATACTCTGTTCACAATGATATTGACCAAGATAAAACCATTATTTATTTATTATGATACATATATTATGATCCACTTATCTCATATATATATGCACAAGTACCTAATTATATCTTACAATCCTCTTGGGCTACTAATCTTAAACTTCAAACATTTAACTTATTACAAAAACAATGCTCTGTCTTGACATACATGAATAATACTCTTTGGGTTGCTTCATCACAAACTGAGTTTTCTAACATATTATCCATAGCTAAATCTTTTTATGCTATGGCTAACATTCAAGTTAATCCTACAAAATCTATTTTGGTTACAAATAACTCTCCATCTCACTACATCTCTATCTCCTATAATAATCATTTTCTTCTACTATATTTTTCTAAACAACTCTATAAATTTTTAGGTTGCTGGTTTATCTTAAACAATAGACAATCTAAATAACAAAACTGCTTATTGCTGAATTCTTTTAACTTATTTAAATTACTAAAACCAAATGTATTACTGACTCATATGCTTGTTATATTATCAACACAGTTATCATTCCTATTCTTGAATATTATCTTCAAAACATTGTAGTTAGCCAGCTTATCTGCAATAAAATTTTTATTTAGCATATTAGCTTTGTTAAACTTAAAGCTAAACTTTGCTATACAATATTTTCTAGTACCCTTTTACATCTCCAAATTTATAATATCAAACACATCTGAAACACCCAACTGCAACACCATATTCCTAACCTTCTTAAATGACTTAACAATCCTAACCTATTAGGCACATCAACTTACATCCAAATTCAACAATTACAAAACAACTTTTGGTCTTCTACTAATATTTTCTTACATCCTAATTCTATTATCGATAGTTCCAACCATCTAACTACAAACTTTAAAATTATTCAGCTTATCAAGCATATTGGCTGAATATTTTCTACTAATCCAACTTATAACATTCTATTTACTCTAAATAACAGAGCTATCTTCCTTGAATCTCTTTTTTCCTCTTATTTCAAATACTTCATTTTCAAAAAACAACTTAGATATCATAAATTACTCTTTCTTAACCAACTTACTATATATAATAATTCATGCTTATTTATTAGAAACATATTTTCTTCTAGATTAAATAAGCTTCTCAAAGTGTTGTACCTCAATAGTTCACCATTCTTAAGAAC